TCCCTATCAATAGCAATCGAATGTTTTTTAAACCATTCAAATCGGTTGATCCGTTCTCTCAAAAATTCGCTTTCTATTTTTTGCACTCTTTGCTCCATATCTCCGTAACGGCTGGACCTGCCTTTGCCAAAAACTAATCAGCACATCTCCTTATCAATAGGAATCGAATGTTTTTTAAACCATTCAAATCGGTTGATCCGTGCGCCCGAAAACGTGGACGAAAAAAAGCGGACATACAAAACACACACACACACACACACACACACACACACACATCCATTTTTTCTGAAGTATGCCAAAATGTTCAGAAACCTTCAAAACGTCGAGAAATGTAAAAATTTTTGATTTCGATTTTTGGACGATTACTATAACTTACCCTACGGGAAGTTAATTAAGGGAGCGCAGCATTCTTTATTATTAGAGCGGAAAGGAGCGCTACAAAAAGGTTGGAAATCACTACTTTAACATTATATTAAATATGTTGTGAAAATGTTTATTGAAAATACCTATTACCATGAGTAGTTTGCAATTTTTACGTACCACGCACACCCCCCCCCCACTCTTCTAAAAAAAATAATTTAATTTTATAATTTCTCAACTGATAATGTAATTATCAGAATACCAATTAGTATGCAAAAAAGCAAATCTGTTGTAATGTATCAAAACCTTTAGTTTGTTTTCGAACATAGTATTTTTGCAAAAAGCTGTGTATAACTCTTTAGGCTACACCATATTTAAATATTCGTTCATCACATAACAGCAAGGCATTCAACTCTAATCCAACCTCCGTAAATGAAAGCCAACAAATAGGATCAAAGCGTTTTGTAAACAAATAAAAAATGAAAAAAACTAGCTGTAAGTGGAATTCTGTCTTAAGGCAATTAGGGCATCGTGCCTTAAGGCAAATTGCTGGAACTTCCCGTACCAAAAATTATTATTTTTTTTAAAAACGATTAACATTTTTGAAAAAAAAATTACTTTAAAAAAATAAGATTTTTGAGAAACTATAAATTGGACAAAAAATTAGTTTTTTTTTGAAAAAAATAATTTTTTTTTAAATTTTTTTCTTAAAAAAAATTTTTTTTTTTGAAAAAAATTTTTTTTTTCTTTATTTTGACATATTGTGGAAGATCTGAACTTTTTTTTCAAAGCAATCGTACTGCTTTAACTACATAGGGACAAAATATAAAGCGCGTAAGCGCCGCGTCGCTGTCTAACGCATAAGCATTGGTACGGAACCCATAGGAATGTTAACAAAATGTATACTTATTGTTAAAATCTCTATAAAATATCTGATAATTTGATGTGCATATGTCTAATGATCATTTTTGACCGCCAAATGGCTCATTTTTTTACTTTTTCCTCTATATCTCCAAAACCGCTGGACCTACCTTCATGAAAGTTGTATCGATTCTTCATCTTGTCAATACAAATAAAATGTTTTTTGAATTATTAAAATCGGACGCTCCGTTCTCTTAAAAACTGAGTTACCGTTTTCGGAACTTTTTGCCCCGTATCTTCGGAACGGCTTGACCTGCCTTTGCCAAAAACTAATCAGCACGTCTCCTTATCAATACGGATCGAATGTTTTTTGAATTATTCAAATCGGTTGATCCGTGTTCCCGAAATCGTCGACGAAAATTTGTATCCGCACATACATACACACACATACATACATACATACATACACACACACATACACACACACACACACACACACACACACACATACATCCATTTTTTCTAAGGTATGCCAAAATGTTCAGAAACCTCTGAAACGTAAAGATATATAAAAATTTTCATTTTCGATTTTTTTGCGATTACTATAACTTGCCCTACGGGAAGTTAATTATTAAATTTAAAATGAGAATTCCGATTAATGAAAAATTTATAAAAAATACAATTTTACAATATTTTTCAAGACAAACTGTTTTTTGCAATTCCCAAATTAGTTTAGCAATTCTCCTCAAAATATGGAAAATTCATATTTATGAACAAGTAAATACACTCATACATCACGTGCATATACGCACGTGAAATGAATTGATATTGATTAGAATATTGTTCTGATCTCACAAAATTGTATCATTATAGCGATAGCAAACAAGTAATATATCTTATATGAGTTTTACAAATGATCAATTTTAATAAAGGTGCTAAGTAAAATCGTTCATAAAGTTAAAACTCGTACCTACTCGATTATTTCAGATAAGTAATTTGACGGTAATACCTATTTAAATTTATAACTATAAGGTCCGCCAAATAACTTTTTTTAGGGTGTACGACTTAAGCAACCCTACTGCGTACACTCTGCATTCTTTACATATCACTTTCAAATAAAAAAGTGAAAATATTTAGTGGTTTTTTAATAGAATTTTCAAACAAAAAGAAAATTGGCAAAATATTCAGTAGATTTTTTAAGGAATTTTTCAAAAAAAACTAATTAGCGGACCCTATATGAATTTTCAGTTTTTCCTATGACTGCCTTCAATTATAATATTGTATTCATTAAATCTATCAAATAATTTTAAACGTTTAAAACCTTCGACCCTAATAGCAGCCCGTCAAAGCAGTTGACATCTGATGCGGCTCATGTCTACATAGACATTAACGACGACTTTGGTTGGTCGTCGGTCGCCGAGCAGTGTACCGATCAGTTTTATCGGCGAGTCAGGTCGGTGTCACGTACCGCTGTTCCTAATTAAACGATCCGGCCGGTACGCTGATTACTATGCAAACCTATAATTACGCGGAGCGAATATCGATACACCGCGCCCTGGGTACGATCCAACATGCGAGACAACGCCGATGCGTAGCGTCAAGCTACGTCGTCCGCAACTATGTTAATTAAAAGATTATATTTAGACAAAGGTTCTCAAAATGACATCAGATTCTGGTAACTGTTATCTAAATTTCAGATTTTATTTATACATGAAATTCCATAACTGGATGGATTTTTCCAGCATAATTTTTTTGCATGGACGAAGTACGGACAAAATGGTATATATGGACAAAATAACACAGTCATCTTATTTAAAAAATATCTACTTTTATTAACGTTACCGACTGCAAAACATGAAGATCATAATATAATAATAATATAATAAAATCCTGTCAGATGTTGAGCGTCATTGTCGCCATCTTGTCGAAGTAGTCAGTTCAAACGTGCATCGCGCCTTCAAAAGCTTTTTTGTTTATTTATTCTTCAAAAGCTTATTTGTTTTGTTTTGTTTTTTAACTTCACGTAGGGTAGTTAAAGGAATGGGCCAAAAATCGAAAATGATTTTTTTTTTGCATTTCTCGACGTTTTGAAGATTTCTGAACATTTTGGCATACCTCAGAAAAAATTGGCCTTAAGGCACGATGCCATACACCACTAGTTTTTGTGGACTTATTCATTATTATTTGTAATTATTTTTATTAAAATCAATACACTTATGCAGATACTAGTGACATCGATCAATATTATTGCTAATACTTTCGGACATAATACCATACTTATACAATGAACAAAATGACATTGTACTATATCGGAAAAACTAAACCCTATAGGATAGTTCATTCGAGGTCAAGCAAAAAGAAAATTGAAACATGTCAAATGTGATTGGCTTTTAACTTTTACTCTAACTTCTAAAAACAGACCAAACGATCCACTGGTAAAAAGAAATGACATGCAATTGCTGCACAATAGTCTTCACCCGTTCTGAACCCGTACTGATAAGGAGACGTGCTGATTAGTTTTTGGCGAAGGCGGGTCTAGCCGTTCCGAAGATATAGGGCAAAAAGAGCCAAAAACGGTACCTCAGTTTTTAAGAGAACGGAGCGTCCGATTTTTTAAGAGAACGGGGCAGGTCCAGCGGTTTCGGAAATTTAGTAAAAAAAATTTAAAAATCTGGCGGTCAAAAATGATCATTAGACATATGCACATTAAATTATCTGATATTTTATAGAGATTTTAACAATAAGAATACATTTTGTTTACATTCCTATCGGTTCCGTACCAATGTTTATCCGTTAGACGGCGGCGCGGCGCTCACGCGCTTCGATATTTTGTCTCTATGCAGTTAAAGCAGTACGATTGCTTTGAAAAAAAAGATCAGAATTTCCAACATATTTAGAAATAAATTTTTCCTCAAAAAGTCTATTCTTTTCAAAAAAAGTAAATTTTTGTCAAAAATTTATAGTTTCTCAAAAATCTAATTTTTTCAGAGTAATTTTTTTTTTCAAAAATATTAATCTTTTAAAAAAACAAAAATTTTGGTACGGGAAGTTCCAGCAATTTGCCTTAAGGCACGATGCCATGCGCCCCACTAGTTGTTTTTATACTTTTGGTATAATGAGACTATGTTACAGGTACGCCAATGAATCTAATGAGTAAAAACGATTGAGACTGACTATAATATTAAATAAATAAATATTAAATAAATATTATATTAAATTAAATATTATATATTGTTATATAATTAATATAATTATATATTAAATATTATAAAAAATATTATATTAAATATTATAGAAACAAAACACCATGTTTTTGTCAATGCTTTCCTTACTGATTTAATAAAGTTTATTTATAACTAAGCTAAACAGATAAGTTTTATATTTGGAGAACATCGTGTGGCACTTATATATTTAATTAATTAATGAATATTTAATATTTTTACTAAAGTAATAATGTTTGTTAAATTTATATTAAGAAACAATGTAATTCAGAAATTACATATATTAACTAGAAGCAAATAACATAGGGTACGAGATTATGAAAATTATAGACAATAATATATTATATAAATTATTGAAGCAATTATAATGGCTAGAAATAACAAAGTTGATATTGTTCTTTCACCGTAGATACTATATTTAATCTTTCTAAAAATTAAATTGTGGACGTAGGTACAGGATAACGTCTGTCGGACCATCTAGTATATATATATATATATATATATATATATATATATATATATGCCGTGCATTATTTACAAAAATTATTAAAAACTTACGATGATAAGCAAGCTGTTCTAAATGAATCCATATTTCACCAAATCTGAAACAAATATAGAATACTAATTACTTTTTGAAATAAAGATTTCTTAATAATAAACTAATAATAAATAATAATATTATATAAAATAATAACTTTGAATAGTTACCTCACAATACCTATAAATAAAGATGGTAAACGTAAGATATTTTCTGTATTTTGCATATCAAAACAAGAATTATAACACGGTGATAACCATTTAGATCTTATATACTTGTAGTTATATTTAATTAATATATTTAATTTCCTAAAATATTCACTTGTATTATTTGAAATATAAATTTTATCATACACATATTCTAGCAACTAGTGAATGATTAAATGCAATTTTCTTATCTATGATTTAAATGTCATTTAGATTTAATTTTGGATGGCGAATGTTTTCTTATAGACCTTACTATAGATACTATGGCATCTTTATGTAGCTTGTCAAATAGCTAATATTAAATATTGCTTAAAATACATCGAATACCTCAAATGCAAATACTGTACATAAATTGAGAGGTATCGAAATGTTGGTAAAAACTCTTTTCTATCCCTCCGAGGTTATGCATTTCCAAGATTAATGGCGTCATAAACAACAACATTAATAAAATCCACATAGTAATTAATATAGAAGTCCTTTTACCTTGATAAATAACTAAATCTTATAAATAATCACTCACAAACTTATTTGAAAACTAATAACACTAATTTTTATTAAAATTCACTCAAAAATGCATCACAATCATAAAAAACTTATCATAATTTTAATACTATTAAAATGACTTGCATCAAATGTCATAATAATCCGGAATGAAGTTAAACGCAATTGTCACCTGTCGGTTGCTCAGTTCGTTGCAAATTTAAAACGCGCGAAAATCAAAACTATTGACAATTCATATACAAGTTATTGATATATTTAAAAGTCTTACGTTTTACATTCAATACATTAAGAAATCAAATAAAAAATGCAATCAAATGCAAAGTAAGTTAATATACAGTTAATTAGTGAGCATTAAAATTGCAGGTGTATAATATTATTAACTACTAATAATATTTTACTAGTATTTTATTGGGTTAGGTTGTCAAAAATCTTATCATATCAGAATTGTTCAACCCACCGGTGACATCCACACTTAAATGAAAAACATTTTTAGAATATGAAGTGAAATAAAATGTGATGAAAAATTAAATTTAATTCATACAATTAAAGACATTATATGTTTGTTTGAAAGATCAAATATAAATCGCTTCTATGAATTGCTCATATACATAATTTTTACGCTTTGTACTGATCAAGGTTGACGTCCACACTCAAATAAAATTTCTTTTTTAGAATACGAAGTAAAATGAAAAGTGTTGAAAAAATTGAATTTAATTCATGCAATTAAAGACATTATACGTTTGTTTGAAAGATATCAAATGTAAATCGCTTCTATGAATCGATTTCTCTTATATGAATCAATTCTATGTGGTGTAGTGATTGACACCCACATTTAAATAAAATACATTTTTAGAATTAAAAATGTTAGATTAATTAAATTTGATTGTTACAATTGAAAGCTATCAATTGAAAATCGCATTAATTAATTTTCTAGCAAAAGCGAAAACTTTATTTTCAAAATAAACAGAACTTTGACCGCCGAACTTTGATAAATTTCAATTTAATTCGTTGAATTCGTTTATTTACAAGTCAAAAAGTGCACTTATTACCTTATTGGAATGTATATATGTTTACCATTCAATGATTCAAAATTGTTTACTGATTATTGATTAGTTTTATTCCTCGAATGTATAATTAACAATTGGCTATAAGTAATAAATTCATACTTTATTTTTAAGTGACAAGCCCTAATTATTTTGGCATACCTTAGAAAAAAATAATGCATACATCTTAGACGCTTTAAAATTATTTTTTTTTGACACTTGCCCGAAGACATCAATACATTCCATGTGTCAATTGCATGTCGTGAACGTTCTGTTACTTGATGAAAATTAATTAATTGCGAATGACTAGGTGATTTTCAAGAGACAAAAACATAAATGGATAATACTTAGTGCTATAAGGGACGAATAGTGATACAGAACACTATTCCTTAATATGCAAACTGTGGGGTTCGTGAAACAGTTAATTAACCCTCTCGATGAACCAAGTTAAAGAGAACCAAGAGAAAGTTTATAATTTTCAATCTTATAAAAATGTAATACCATATTTTTATTTACTTTGGCAGAATTGGTTTTTAGTGCTTTTAATTTTCGATTTTAAAATAAGTGTGTATTTTTAAATCACACTGAAAAAATTATATACTTTATTACAACCTTACACATAATGTTAGAGTATAAAATAGAAATTTGTGGTGCATGGAACCTCAAAGCAAATTGATAAAACTTCCGGTCTGATTCTAATAATTTAAAAAAACATTTTACTTGTATTGACAAGATGAAGAATTGATCAAATTTTCATGAAGGCAGGTCTAGCGGTTTCGGAGATCTAGTGAAAAAAGTAAAAAAAAATACCATTTGGGGATAAAAAATGATCATTAGACATATGCACATAAAATTATCAGATATTTTATAGAGATTTTAACAATAAGTAGAAATTTTGTTTACATTCGAGGGTTCCGTACCAATGTTCATCCGTTAGACGGCGACGCGGCGCTTATGCGCTTTCACATTTTGTCTCTATGCAGTTAAAGCAGTACGATTTTTTTACGTTTACGTTTCTCAAAAATCTAATTTTTTTGAAGTAAATTTTTTTCAACTGTGTTAATCTTTTAAAAAAATACTAATTTTTGGTACGGACAGTTGCAGCGATTTGCCTTAAGGCACGATGCCATGCGCCCCACTAGTTATTTTCGATTTTGGACTATTTTTATAAACTGATATTGAACCTATAACTATTTAGTAAAAATGTACTTCTTCAATGTTTATTATAAGTGTATATTATGAAATAAACTTTTCAAGTAGGTAGATGTAGATAGTAGTGCACATTTTAACTATCTAAATCACAGGTTCCCAAACTTGTTTGTGCCGTGGACCCCTTGCGATATTTTTCGTTTTGTCATGGACCCCCTATATCATGGTTTATCCGGGACAGTTCCGGGTTTTCATCTTTTGATCCGGGTTTTTTCAAATTCAATATTTGTCCCGGATTTTTGAAAAGTATAGGTTTAAATCTTAATTAAAATTTTCTTAATTAAATTTTTTCTTAATTAAAATTAAATTACAACTACTTATCAAATTAATTATGTGAATCAATGTGTTTTTTATCACTTGTAAAACGTTATGAATGAGAAAATTGCTGAATACAAAATTCCAAAGGCGAATTTCATTTCATAAAATTAAAAAAAAAGAAAACAAGGTAATAGTAATTTTTTCAAATTATATAATCGAGTTAGAAATCTTACTAATAGTCCGCAATTGTAACTTGAAAATATATTTTTGAACAAACTGTTATTTATTGTATTTTTAAATGGTATCTTTTTAATACGTATTTTACTATATATTTGTTATTTGTGATACTATTAACAGATCGTCCTATGCTCGACTTAATATATCGTGCAACAAAATGAATTTAAAATGACAAATATATTAATTAGTTTAGTTTCAAAACTAAAGTAATAATAGCGGCTTTATAATTATTTTTAATACATCATCAAATTGATCATATGTTATTTTAGAAAATACGCTTTACTAACTTAGACTTTTTTAAATTAAGCAAATTTGTTTTTTAACTCCCCGTAGGGTAAGTTATAGAATTCGGAAAAAATCGAAAATGAACATTTTTATATATAGTATAATAATTTTTGCAAACCTATAACATTTGGCAGTAAACATTTTATATAAGCAACTTTTTTCAATAACCAACCCAGAAATAAACTATATCTGTAATTTACTGTCCACCAAGGCACAAAATTACCTGTGTAATTTAAATGTCTAAGAGTTTAGTTAAAAACACTCGAGTCCAAATTCGTTGCTGAAGGGACTAAAATTCAAATAAAATTTTGTTTATCGAATCCAAATATTTTATTGATTCCAAATACCTGGTATCTATATCACACTTCGTTAAATTGCCATTTAAACCTCTATATTTGGTATTTATGAATTCTAAGGGCAAAATTCTTACCAAAATTAAGCTTTTCAACAGCCAGCATATAGTTCAACCACAACTCGAATGCCAACATGCTACAACTTACACACTTTATATAAACATATAATTTTTTCTTTACTTTTTGAATCATTTCTAAATATTGACAACTATATTAAAAGATTTATTGTAAATCTATATATTATATTATCGTTTAACGTAAATAAATCGATTTTAATATGATGTATTGTAATCCACTGCCGTGGACCCCCATTTTCATTTCGTGGACCCCTAAGTTTTGTTTTTGCCGCCGTGGACCCCTTGAAAGTTGCCATGGACCCCTGGGGGTCCATGTGGACCACTTTGGGAATCACTGATCTAAATTATATAAAAAATCAATTTAAATTTAAGTCTAGAAACGAAATAAAGAAAATATCTGAATATAATCGGTTGATAAAATCACAAATATATCGGGTCCTTTAGCTAAATTACATACAACACATGACACAAAAAATACAGTTAAAGAAACAATTGAGATCAACAAATTAATGATCAATATGATAAACTATAATTAAGTATCAAGTTGTATTCAGAACTGCAGGAATGATCAAAAAGTGATTACCAATAAATTCTTTCTTAGTATTACCTTACCAATTTGACTCACTTTTGGTGCAAGTTTCTGTATGAAAGTTTTATCACGCAATTTGACATAAGAACCATGAAAACACCTTCAACAAGCGAACTTCTAGTTAAACCCACACTCCATAAAGTGAATAGTGATATTTATAATTCAAATTACAAATAACTTGTAATAATTAGGTTTATTACCAATTTCAAGAGGCACTTCGGTGATGTCTTGTCATGAAGTAATCAAATCTTTTAGCGTGTTCACTTATCCCATTCGGTTTTATGACAGTTCGGAGGCGTCGATGACAC